TGGCCATTTTAATAGATGTGTAATGATATCTTATTGTTGTTTTAATTTGTAATTCCCTGATGATGTATGATGTGGAGCTTCTTTTCAGATATTTATTTGTTATCTGTAGATCTTCTTTGGTGAGGTGCCTGTTCAGGTCTTTGCCCACTTCTTAGATTGTTTTCTTATTGAGTTTCAAGAGTTCTCTGTGTTTCTTGGATAATAGTCCTTTATTAGATGTGTGTTTTGTAAATGTCTGTGACTTACTATCTCATTTTCTTTACAGAGTCTTTCAGACATGCAAGTTGTTTGGTTTTGTTGTTTTTTTTTCTGAAGTTTTATAGAAATTGATTTAAGTCAATCAGCCTGGAAGCAAGATCTCAACAGACTGAGAAAAATGTTTCCCAGAAGTTTTTAGTTTTAATGAAGTCCAGATTATCAATTATTTCTTTCACTAATCATGTCTTCGGTGTTATATTTAAAACAGCATTGCCATACCCAGCTTCTCTAGATTTTATCCTGTGTTATCTTCTAGGAGTTTTATAGATTGTGTTTTACATTTAGATCTAGGATCCATGTTGAGTTAGTTTTGTGAAGGCTGTAAGAACTGTGTCCAGATTCATTTTTTGCATGTGAATGTCCAGTTTCTCCAGTATCATTTGTTGAACAGAGTGTCTTTGTTCCATTCATTGTCTTGCCTTTGCTCCTTTGTCAAAGATCAGTCACTATATTGATGTGGGTCTATTTCTGGGCTCTCTGTTCCATGGAACTATTTGTCTAGAGATCTTTCAGCAATATCATACTCTTGATTACTGGAGCTTTATAGTAAGTCTTGAAGTTGAGAAGTGTTATTCTCCTCTTTTAATAATTTGTTTGCTATTTTGTTTGTTTGTTTGTTTTTTGACAGCCTATAAACTTTAGAGTCAGTTTGTTGATAACCACAAAGTAGCTTGCTGAGATTTTTACAAGTAGGGAAGAACTGACATCTTGACAGTATTGAGTCTTCTGTTTGTGAACATGGAATAGCTCTCTATTTATTTGGTTCTTTAATTATTTTTATTAGGGCTTTGTAGTTTTCCTTTTATAGATCATATATATATATATATATTTTTTTTTTGTTAGATGTATTCAATACACTAAAGTATTTCATTTTTTGAATGCTGATGTAATGCTAAATGGTATTGTGTTTTTAATTTTAAATTCCACTTCTTCGTTGCTGGTAAATAGGAAAGCAATTGACTTTTTTTAATTGAATATATCTGACATATGTAACATTGTGTAAATTTAAGGTGTAAAACGTGTTAATTTGATACATTTATATATTGTAATATGATTGACATGGTAGCAATATTTAGTACCTCTATATTATTACATAGTTTTTTTTTAGTGGTTGGAATAATTAAGTTCTAGTCTCTTAGCAAGTTTGATAATTATACTACAATATTGTTGTCTATATTCATTTTACTGTAAATTAGATCTCTATTGCTTATTTACTATTATTGCAAGTTTGTACCCTTAAACAACATCTATCTTATCCCTCCAGTAATTGACTTTTGTATATTAACCTTGTATCCTGCAATCTTGGTATATTATAATCGCTTATTAGTTTCAGGAGGTGTGTTTTTTTGTTTGTTTGACAATTCTTTTTGATTTCCTACGTTGATGATTGATTATGTTATCTGTGAGTAAAGACAATTTTATTTCTTCCTTCTTTATCTATGTACCTTTACATCCTTTCTTGTCTTTTTGCTTTAGCTAGGACTTCCCTCCCATATGATGGTGGAAAGGTGTGGTGAGAGGGGAGGGACATCCTTGCCTTGTTCCTGATCTTAGTGGTAAAGCTCCTAGTTTCTCTCCATTAAATATGTTAGCTGTAGTAGATTCTTTGTTGATGTTCTTTATCATGTTGAGGAAGTTCCCTTTTATTCCTGGTTTGCTGAGTTTTTATTCTCCTTGCTGTCATTCATTTCACTTATATACAGGCACACGTGCATACATCTCTTCCTTTTCCTCTCTCTGAAGAACTTTTAACATTTCTTGCAAGGCTAGTCTATTGGCAACAAATTTCCTGTTTTTCTTTATTTGAGAAAGCCTTTACTTCTCCTTTTCTTTTGAAGAATAGTTTCACAAGGCACATAACCCTAAGTTGGTGGTTATTTTCTCTCAACACTAGCTATTTCGTTCTATTCTCTCCTTGTATGCATGGTTTCTGAGACATCAGATGTAATTCTTATGTTTACTCCTATATAGTAAGGTGTTTTTTCTGCTGTCTTCTTTTTTAATTTGTTTTTCATTATCTTTAATTTTCTGCGGTTTGAATATGATATACCTGGGTGTTGTTTATTTGACGTTTATTCTGGCTGGTGTTCTCAGAGCTTCCAGGACCTGTGGTTTGGTGTCTGATATTAATTTGGGAAAATTCCAAAGCCATTATTATTTCAAATATTTCTCCTGTTTCTTTCTCTTTTTATTATTCTCTGGTATTCCATTTATGTATGTGTTGCTCCGTTTGTAATTTCCTACAGTTCTTGGATAATCTGTTCCAATTTTTTTTCAGTCATTTTTTTCTTTGCTTTTCAGTTTTGGAAGTTTCTGTTGGTATATCCTGAAGCTCAGATTCTTTTCTCAGTCATGCCCACTCTACTGTAGAGCCCATCAAATGGCAGTCTTCATTTTATACTAGTTTTGATCTTTAGTATTTCTTTTTGATTCTTTTATAGGATTTTTATCTCTGTTTACATTGCCCATTTGCTCTTGCATGTTGTCTCATTTTTCTCTTAGAACACTTAGCTTATTAATCATAGTTTAAAAAATTCCTGGTCTGATAATTTGAACATCCCTGCCATGTCTGAGTCTGGTCCTGAGGCTTGCTGTGTCTCTTCAGACTGTGTTTTGTCTTATAGTATGACTTGCTGAAAGCTAGACACGGTGTATTAGACAAGGAACACCAGCCTATAGTAGTCTGATGGTGTCAGTGGGGGAGAAGCATTCTAGTCCTGTGATTAGGTCTCAGTCTTGTAGTGAGTCCCTGCCACTGGCATGTGAATTTCTCACATGGGTACCAGTCCCCTTTGCCCCCCTCAGGTGGAACAGGATGGCTAGGGTGGGCTGGAATTGGTTATTTCCCTTACCTGGGTGGGCTAATCTCTGGTGGGTGCTGGTAAATAGTTTCTCTTGAGCGTAGGCCTTATTAAGAAGAGAATGCTCTGGTGTCTTTCAAAATGCTTATCGTCCCCTCCCCCTGCTGGAAAAACGAGGAAACTTTTGTCCTATAAAACTCACAAAAGTGGGGGCTCCCCTGGGACTGGGTCCCCTCTGGAGTTTTAGCACAAACTTGTCCACACTTTGTCTTCAGCAACTTGTCAGTTACAGTTTAAATTTTCATCCCCTGCTACTGGTTTCTGGCCACGTTTCTGCTTGTGGGTTTTTGCTCTGTTAAGTTGTGATTCTGGGTATCCACCTGTCTGTGTTTTTAATTTTGGGGGCAGTGGTCGGCCCTGTGACCTCACTTCTAAGGCATCTAAGAAGAATTGTTAATATTTCACTTTATCAGTGTTTCACTTCTTAGGGTGGAGTGGTAACTTCTAAACTTCTTACACACTGGGCTGGAAAACCAAAAGTAATTCTTTATTTTTGATGCCTGTGTCTCAACTATGTCTGGTGTCTACTTGTCTAGACAAACTTTGCTTTACCTCCAGAAAACAAATCTTCACTCATTTGTTCAGGTGGGAGAGAGGGGGTTGCTAGAGCTCTCAAATGAGGAAGGGAGAGCAGGGACCAACCTGCATTTCAAACCTATTGCGCCTAACTTGAAGTCCTCTTTATCCTTCACTCTCAACTGCGGACTTCTTTCTCTTCCAGTACTTGAGTTTTTTGAGAATACAGTGGTGTACAACAGCCTGGTTCTTACGTTTTTTTCTTTTGCCAATATTTGGCGATTCACCTTTCTTGGGTCTTCTGAGTAGATTACTATATATCTATATTGCTGTATAGCTTTTGAGGTATTGCTGGTGCTGTTGCTTCTCATGTTTTCCCTCTATTGCTAGCTTTAATTTGTCAAGTTATTATTTAAGGGAATATTCAGTTAAAGCTTGGTTTTCTTGCATTCGATTTCTTCTACTCAGAAACCCAAATGCACACAACTAAATAGTTAATTTAATTACCTGAAACATTTTATAGAGATCTGTGCCTAGTCATGTTACTTCACTGGCAAATAAAGCTAAGAATTATTTGATGATGAAAATATTTCCTATTTTTGTCTTTCTGTGTTCAGAAAGGGGATAGACCAGTGTATAATTTTTTTTTTAAAGATTTTTATTGGGGAATTGGGGGGATGGGAACAGTGCTGGGGAATTGGGGGAAGGGGAACAGACAAGTTGCTGTTGTTTTGTTCTTCAGTCTAGTTGTGGAGGACGTTGCTTCACTGGCCCAAGTTGGCACCATCATTGCACTCTTCCTGGGCGAGGCCAGATCAGTCGCCCGCTTCTGGACGGCCGCTCACTGCAGCTGCTGACTGCTCATGCTGGCCTCTCACACTGGCTGCCGGCTATACATGGTAACCCATGGCAACCCACTGCCACAGGGACTGCAGCCTATGCCGTTGCCGGCGACTCACGGCAGCCCAGCTCCAGGTTGAGCTGTTGTTCAGCATCTTAGCTGCAGAGGGCAGTGTCACTGGCCCTCATATGTGGGATCCGAACCGGGGCCCTCTGGCGTCCCAAGCCAGTTCTTAATCATTGCGCCACTCGGCCGGCCCATAATTTTTTTAATAATGAAAAATCAATGGCTTATTTTTTACAAAACGTACAACTGAACTGTGAATGCGGAAAATAGTGATAGGTAATAAAGGTATCCCTCTCCCCTTTTAAAGATGGATTTGAATATCCCATTTACCAGGCTGCTGGCAATATTCTGACTTGTTGATATTTGATTATACTACAGTATGATAATTTGAACCTGATTAGTTACCTCTTAAAGATTTTTAAAACAATGTTTCTGCAATTTCTTTTTATAATATACAGAGAAAGCAACCAGTGAGATGAATACTGCTGAGGATTGGGGCCTCATTTTGGATATTTGTGATAAAGTCGGTCAGTCTCGTACTGGGTAAGTGTTGCAAAATTTCAAACGATTTTTATTCATTTTTCCTTTTTATTAATATAAATAAAACAAGGGTAAGAAGATGAGCATAGTACAGTTGCAATTTATTTTAAAAGAGAATGTCTTTCCTAGAAAGAATCGAAGAGTCATTACATTTAGGTTACTGCTTATAACCAGTTAGGGTAACATAACTGGTAAAAATGTTGCGACTTTAATTAATCACACTTTTCCTCCTGAAATCGAGCTTTTTTGCACTGATGTTTAAAGTTATCGATGATCTCTCAGTTACGAAGTTTGAAGGTTATTTCTGAGCTCTTTTCTTCTTTGTCACATCTGCAACGTCTTACTCAACTGATCAGTGACTATTGAAAGAGAGACAGTTTAAGGAAGGAGAATCTTAAACTTTTTGGCATATGGCCTTTTGGGTACCACAGAGCTTTCTAAACAGTGCAGTGAGTGGATTAACTGGTATATAGATTAATAGTTTCCTTAATTCCTGGGCGAATAACATCCAGCTATTAGCAGCCTCATTTACCCCTTCGTGCCACACAAATACTGTCTTATTTATGTACTTCCAGGTGAAAAATGTTAGGCAGCGCTGCTTCATGACACTTGATCCTTCCAGTGGTGATCGTAACCCTCTGACGTGCCTCATTTGGCTCTTCTTTCCTCTCTTCTCAATATAGATAGTTCCTTAAACTTTTTTTGATCCTTTTTTTTCCCCTCTAATACTTTTTTCTTTTCTAATACTTTTTCTTTTGGAATTTCACAACTTCCAGGTGTCTTTCTGTGGGTGGCATGAGTATTTTCAGCTCTGATTTTTCTTACCCAAGCACTAGCGCTGTGGACACAGCATTATTTCTGGATGTCATACTGTATAAGCCTTAACCTCACCATCTGTCAACCTGAACTCGTGTCTGTTTTGATTTACACCTCCTTTGTCCCCTCCTTTGTCCCCTGTTGCTGTTAATGAAGAGATTCTTCTTTCATTTGCGCTTAAAACCTCAGCGTCACCTCCACATTTATTTTGTGACCAAATTCTGTCCGTCTGCCTTCATGATCTCTCAGAATGTTGCTCTTATAAAGTCTCCTTAGTTAAGTTCTCGAACGTGGCAATACTAGGCTGGGGCAGTTTGTCTTCAGGGCCTTTCTACCCCTTCACTTCAGGCCGTAATGTGCTCCCCCTGTCAGGTTCCCAAAACTGGGCCTTCCCAATACGGCCTCATCCATACCCTTTGTTGCCTACACTTTTTAGTACACTAAGTCTTGTTCTTTCTGACCTTATTCCTCGGCTTTATCAAAGTTTGAATAGCTATCAGGTGCTACATATCTATTCCTTTTTCTGTTTTTCTGTCGGCCCACCCCCCCTTTACTTGAGACATTCCTTACCATGCCTAGACAGGTGAATTAACCTTCTGGCATTCTTTCCATTTCCACCTCTTTATCTTCAGGTGCCTTGTAAAAACTGTGACCATGTTACTCTCCTGCCTTCTTTGCTGAGTTGTCTAACCTTCTTAGGCCTCTGAATCATTTATTTTCCGTTAGCTTCTCTCATATATACCATTCTTTTCAACTCAAGCATTTGAATTGTCAGTGCTTTTCAACCTTAGTTTAGTGCTTTTGGTCATTCTATCCTTCAGTATGTTTTCTTCTACCATTTCCCATCTCTGTATCTAATACCCTTCCAGACCCAGTATAGGTATTATTTCGTCTACAAAGCTGTGCCTTACCCTCTTTACTGAAAATCATGTTACGGTCCTCTGACCCCTTAAAGCACTATATCAAAGCTATTCTTATTTGTTTCGCCTTGTATAATAGTAGGTAATTTATATCTGTCTTGTAGACTCAGGTTTGTAGAATGAAAGGTCCCTGAATTTTTGTTGTACAGAGGAAAGAAGCAAATAGCCTAGTGGTTGAGACATGATCTCTGGAATGAGGCTGCCTGGGTTCAAATCCCACCTATTACCGCTTAGCTGCTTACATGGGGTAAGTAACTTACCTCTGGTTTACTCCATAAGAACAAAAATGGTGTCTTCTTCGTAGGGGGTTTGTTGTGAGTATGAGATCAGTATATGTATGCACACACACACACACACACACACACACACACACACACACACACACACACAGTGTTTGTATTAGTCCCTGGCACTTGGTTAAATGGGTGCACCTCTGTCTCTTTTTGACTGAAGTCCTATCTTGTGACAGTTTTTTGAGGACTGGTCATCATGCTAGTTCCATCCCTGCATATTTTGGAGATAACACTTTTATCTAGCATTCCAGTTGCAAAGTCCCTGTTTTCTTTTTTTCACTCTGTTGGTTTTCTTTTTATCTTTGCCTTGGTGTTCTTCATTTTGTAGATATTTTTTATGATAGTTTGGTTAGTTGCTTGACATGAAAAGACAACCGACTGTCCTTTCATTAGTAGAAATATTCCACATTTTTCTACTTAAAAAATAAACTTGTAATCCCTCTGAAATTCTATTGGGTTGTCAGAAAAGTCATGACGTAGTTTTTCTGTTTTTCATTGCAAAAATGCATCATGACTTTTCCGACAACCCAGTATATGATGTATAATAAAGATGATGAGATCAACTTGTTTTTCTTCATGTTAACATTATTATACTAGAAGCAGTTGTTTGTTATTCTTTTTCCTGTGATGAGAACTTTTTTTTTCTTGTGATGAGAACTTTCAAGATCTACTCTCTGAGCAACTTTCACTATACATAAAGTATTGTATCTATACTCACCATGCTGTACATTACACCCTCAACTTATCTGTCTCACCTTTTGACCACAAACTCCCCTCCCCCCCTTTTCCGACAACCACCAGTCTATTCTCTTTCTGTGAGTTTGGTTTTATTACATCCACTTATCAGTGAGTTCATACAGTATTTGTCTTTGTTGACTTAGTTCACTTGGCATTAATGCCTTCAAGGCCCACCCATGTTGTCCTCATATAGTTGAGATGTACTAATATGTAGCTTAAAAACACTATTTTCCATTTGTTTTGTTTTTAAATCCAGTATCAAGCGTTAGATACATGCTTATTTTTTATTTTTTTATTTATATTTTCAAATTTATTTTTAGACAACATACTCTCTGTCAGTATATTCCTTAATATTTCAGTTATTCTTTGGGGATTTTAATTGACATGCTAAACCTATGAATTTACTAAGCAAAGTTGAAAATATTTCCTAATTTAAGTTCTATTTGTCCTTTTAATCAATATTTTTTCCCTTATTCTTTCCTTCTCTATTTTTTTCCTTTCATTTATTTTCTCTTCCCATGACAGTTATTGCTTTCTAATTTCTTTAAATCCTCATTAAGTTAATTTCTAAGCGTTATTTGTGTAAATGCAATGTTTCTTTATAGCTCTTGTTAATAAAGAATTGTTTGAAAAGGATAAAATAATAATTGAGATACTATTCTAATATTATTGAGGTTTTTAAAAATGTCAAACCCTCAATATTTGCTCTTGTGTGTGATTTCTCTTCAGAAAATGTTTTGCATACACATCAGGACCACAGTATGACTGTCATGGGCCCTTGGCACCTTTGCCTTCCTGGGTCCCTTCATAAGAAAATAATAAAAATATTTTATGATTGCATTGTTATAAAGATAAGTGTATTATTAGACATTAAAACATTTTCTTTGATGTAAAAGTCCATTTTCTTCAAAAAATTACATTTTTGTTGGCCCTTAAAATTGTGAGCCCTTGTCGTGGTAACTGCATGCAGATATTACAGAATTGGTTTATATTTTCAGGTCAGCTTAGGAATTGAAAATCATTAAGGTTCTTTTTAGGAGAGCAATAAAATGTGAGATACATATGGAGGAGCTCCTAATATGTCATTTGTTTGTGGGTTTATTTATTGTTATTGTGGTAAAATATACATAGCATAAAATTTTCCACCTTAAGCATTATTTTTTTTTTTATTATTGGGGAATTGGGGGATAGGAACAGTGCTGGGGAATTGAGGAAGAGGAACAGACAAGTTGCTGTTGTTTTGTTCTTCAGTCTAGTTGTGGAGGACGTTGCTTCACTGGCCCAAGTTGGCACCATCATTGCGCTCTTCCCAG